CCTCCCCGCCAGCCACGCTCCTCCCCACCAGCCACACTGCCACACCACAGGCCTACTCACCCACCACGTTCTCACCCACCAGCCACGCTCCTCCCTGCCAACCACGCTCCTCCCCACCAGCCACACTGCCACACCACAGGCCTACTCACCCACCACGTTCTCACCCACCAGCCACACTCCTCCCCACCAGCCACACTGCCACACCACAGGCCTACTCACCCACCACGTTCTCACCCACCAGCCACACTCCCCCCCCAGCCACGCTCCTCCCCGCCAGCCACGCTCCTCCCCACCAGCCACACTGCCACACCACAGGCCTACTCACCCACCACGTTCTCACCCACCAGCCACGCTCCTCCCCGCCAGCCACACTGCCACACCACAGGCCTACTCACCCACCACAGGCCTACTCACCCACCACGTTCTCACCCACCAGCCACGCTCCTCCCCGCCAGCCACACTGCCACACCACAGGCCTACTCACCCACCACATTCTTCCCCACCAGCCACGCTCCTCCTCACCAGCCACGCTCCTCCCCGCCAGCCACGCTCCTCCCTGCCAGCCACGCTCCTACTCACCAGCCACACTGCCACACCACAGGCCTACTCACCCACCACGTTCTTACCCACCAGCCACGCTCCTCCCCGCCAGCCACGCTCCTCCCCGCCAGCCACACTCCTCCCCACCAGCCACACTCCCACCCACCAGCTACACTCTTCCCCACCAGCCATGCTCATGCTCCTCCCCACCAGCCATGCTCCTCCCCACCAGCCATGCTCATCCTCCTCCCCACCAGCCACACTCCTACCCACCAGTCATGCTCCTCCCCACCAGCCATGCTCCTCCCCACCAGCCATGCTCCTCCCCACCAGCCATGCTCATCCTCCTCCCCACCAGCCACGCTCTCCCCACCAGCCACACTCCTACCCACCAGCCACGCTCCTCCCCACCAGCCACGCTCTCCCCACCAGTCACGCTCTCCCCACCAGCCACACTCCCACCCACCAGCCACGGTCCTCCCCACCAGCCATGCTCATGCTCTTCCCCACCAGCCACACTCCCATCCACCAGCCATGCTCCTCCCCACCAGTCACGTTCTTCCCCATCAGCCATGCTCCTTCCCACCAGCCACACTCCTCCCCACCAGCCACATTCTTACACACTAGTCAGGCTCCCACCTACCGCCCAGGCTCCTACTCACCAGCCACACTGCCACACTACTCGTCTACTCACCAGCCACACATTCTTACCCAGCACCCACACTCCTACTCGCCAGCCACATTCCCACCCACTGGCCGTGCTCCTACTCAACAGCCACATTCTTACCCACCAGCCATGCTCCTCCCCACCAGCCACACTTCCACACTACACGCCTAATCACCAGCCATGTTCTTACCCACTAGCCACACTGCCACACCACGTGTCTACTCACCAGCCACATTCTTACCCACCGGTCATGTTCCTGCCCACCAGCCACACTGCAGCACCACACTCCTAACCACCAGTCACATTCCTACCCCCTAGCCACACTCCTACTCACCAGCCACCCGCCTACTCACCAGCCACACTGCCATGAGTCCTGTGCTATGCTGGGCTTATAGTACACAGTTATTTTGTGAGTCAGTAATTTTTGGAGATTTCATTGGCAGTAATTACTGTCCAATAAGCAACCTATGGACAAGACCACATGCTGCTTAGCCACAAAGAAGGGCTGGACAGTGGAGATGCCACAGCTCCTGTCGGCTGCCCCGTCAGGCTCCACCAGGAGGAGAAGCAGCAGCAGCTCCCTCCCAGCCATGCACTGTGCCACTGGCAGTGCCCACCCAGGGCTGTCCAGACAGCCATAGCCGGATTCCCATCTCCAGCTTCAGCAGTGTTCCCAAACCCTGCCTCACCGTGCTGCCTGGGGAGTCACGCAGCTGGGAGTGTCCCCTGTTAGCAGGCCCCATCCCAGCAGGGCCCCTCCTCCACCTTCCGGAGGAGGCAGCAGCAGCTGGGCAGGGCCCCCCTTGAGCGTTTGGAATCGGGCAATGCCAGCTCCCCATGGCCAGCTCTGTCTCACCATTTTCTCAGTGCTTTACAGTCCTCCAGCAGCTCCTGAGCCAACCTGCTGCATTCAATGTCCTCATCAGCACCTACTGTGGTTTCTACTTTCTTGAGTGGACCCTGACAGTTGACTCTCAAAGTTGCTTTACTTGGAAAGAGCCGTAGGAGGAGCTATTTCTCAGTAAGATTTCAACTAGAATAAGCGTTTCCCAAAGTACGCGGCATCCCAGCATCCTAGGAACCATGAACACACCTGCCCGACGAGTCCGAATGAGCGGTCCAGGCTCCTCTGGTCCGTGTATCTTCTGATTTTATTATGCAACCATCCCAACTCAGAGAGCCTGACTGCTGTGTCTCTCAAAGACCTACTTAGATTTGCCTAAAAAGTAAATACATCAAATGTTAAACATTAAAAGTCAATACCAGAGTTTTAACTAGTATTTTTCTCAAACACTTACACTTTTAATATTATAATCCTTAGGCTTCAAGACATAAAAGTTAAAACTAAGATCCCATCACTAAAAGGAAGGAAAGCACATTAAGTGACAGCGTGATGGAAAGCACCTCAAAGGGCACCATGAGCTCCCTTCACACCACCCTGCAGTTGACCTGCGGTGTGGCAGAGATGGTCTGTGATCTCAGTTACGCTGTGAAAGGGCTAAAAGCCCCAGTGTGACTCACACCACAAGAAATGGGCATGGTAAAGGCAGGTTATGGAAAAAGGAAGCAAAAGTGGGTGAAGACCCCTGACCTGGAATCCTGCATCACTGCTGAAGGCGCCAAGGGACCTCTGTCCCCTGGATGCCTCAGCCATCACACAGCAGGATGCAGAAATCAGCTATGGGGCGGCCCCATCAGTAGATGCGAGGAAAGGAGGCACACATTAATCACAAAGGGTCCCCATAATAAAACTGAACGAGCACAATGGACAGAAATAGAAACCAGGATTCCACAGTGCAATTTCACCTCACACTCGATTCGCAAAATCCCAGTACCACCTTATCAATCAACAGCTCACTATCTGGACTTCATGACATTTTTTTCTTTCTGAATATTTTAAATTAGATTTTATGTTACCGTACCTTTCCTTCTACTTTGTAACAATTTTCAGTGTTGTTCATTTTGATATTTTTGCCGTCTATGCCCTGAAAGACGTACAAAATGTCCCTTACCAGAGCTGCTTCTGTAATTTCCATAGTACCTGCAAAATCATTTTTTAAAGAGTAATTACTAGACAATACATTTTAAGATACAACAGATATTATGACACAATTAGCTTCAGATTAGATATTTGCCGCCCGGATGAAATTTACTAACTCAATAAATAAGTTCAAGATGAAAAAGAGAGTATGAAGTTAGAAAGAAACAAAGTGAGTCTCAGTCTAGAGGCTGGCCTGCTGTGCCACGAACACACAACTGTCCAACACAACATGAGTGTGGGCCGTGGACAGACAGACGCCGGACGCGGGAGCTACACATGGGGACAGGGGGGGTGGGGCAGATGGTAGAGACTGCTGCGGGGGACTAAGACTGCCAGGATGTCCTCCAGCTCTCAGATGCTCCTCACCTTCGCATTCTACACAAGTACAGGTACAGGTAACATCCAGAGCCATTTCAGAATCAGCAGATTATAAGTCAACAGGGAAGCCCAATCCTCTATTTTCAGGACACTCATGTTTCAAACGCTGCTAACTGTAGTGTTCTCAAGAAAGAAACTCAGGCTTCCTTTTGAAATCTAGCAGGGCTTTAAAACCCTCCATGAGGTATTCATCTCACCATCGAGTAATTCCTCAGGGACTCTCTTCGATATGCCAGGCACTGTGCTAAGCACTGGCCCCATAAATGAAACAGACTTAGCCCCTCTGTGGAGTTAACACTTTGGTGGAAGAAGATGACTTTTACTACGGTGTCTAACCCAGCCTTAAAGACTTTCAAACCAGGGAGAATGGCAGGATGAAAACAGACCAGGAGAATGCAATGAGGAACAGCAAAGAAGAGAGATGTGTGGGGAGGAGGCCACATGGACGAGCAGCCAAAAAGCAGACTGTGCTGGAAGAAGTCCAGGGAGCCTGGGGTGGAAAGCCAGACTCCCCAAGGTGCCGCAGACCACCAGGGACTCTGGACTTCATGATAAGAACAAGAAACCACTAAAAGGTTTGAGGTGGGGCTCCTGGGCCGTACTTTAAAATAAGGAAAGGCCGAATTCCAAACGTTCACAGAAAAGCTGTATAAACATAGATCTTTACTCACAACCCGTATCCCCTTCTCTCCTGGACCTTGTCATGTTGCGAGACACAGCATTTGGGACACCTTTTGAGGTAGTGGCTTGTGAAGAAGGCTGATTTGCAGTTAAAGTCCATGCAAGTCGTGACCCCAACTGCTGTCGAAGGCAATCTCCTACTCCCGGAGCTTGATGAGACTGTCTAAAAAAAGAAACATGTATTATCTTCTAATAGCCAGACTATTCACTGAAGAGACAAAAGTGTCCCCAGAAATTTCTCTTGTATTACTATTGTGAATTATGTAAATTTATAAATCTCAGATAGCTGATACCATGACTTTATCCTAACCGAATATATCAGTAACAGACAGTCCCAAGTCCCCTGAACTTGGCCAAGCCTCCTTGGGACCCTTGGCCTAGCGTTCAGACCCAACACAGTGGTTGAAAAATCATCTTACTGCTATCTTACATATATATTTCTTACTATTAATATCAAAATCTACTTGGCTTTTCTTTATAAACATATACCCACCCTATAACCACTTTGAAATTCTCTACTTATTTTAATTTCAAAATCAACAACTCTTGTTCAGTCCCCATGTACTGAGTAGAATTGAGTCACTGTGACATTGTCCCAGGTGCCTGGCCACACCTGTCTTCAGCCTTCAGGGTGCTCACTATGAAAAGAAACACTGTAATTTTCAATTAACTTCTAACATATACAAACGTATAAAATCTAAGCAGCATATTCAAATGCATATTCAAGGTCAAGATGGCTTGTCAGCAATTTTGAAACTATGTCAAAGTTGTTTTTTGAAAAATGTAAGAACCTCATAGCTGATTTCTAATAGCGTCAGTTTTGACAGATGCAACTAAATATCACTTCCTAGGACTTCAAAACACAAAAATGAGAACCTCAGCTGCACTAGTTTCCAGGTGCCAGAGCTTGGAATTAGTACTGGTGCAGTATTAGGGGGGTTCATCCACAATCCACTCATGAAGTAAGGAGAACAGGAAAGAACTAAAACAGTTCTTATTTTACTCCATTTTCATCAGGAAAGAAGTCAACAACATTCACTAAAACTATGTCTTTGGGCATAGTCCTAAATTTAAGAGGACAATTCTAAAAGACTTTCAGTTCAAAGTTCTCTATACAGATTTTTAATAGGATAACAGTAATTAATTTAAATTCTAAGGTATAAATGAGAATGTCAATTGATTCTTTTAACTGGAATTTAAATTTTAGATTAAATGTGTCAAGTTCTGTTTTTAAATGCTTTGCGTTTTCTTTACACAACGCTAGACCCCATTGGTAATTCATACGTATAGAACACACATTCTGTTTTTGAGTGTCTTGAACATAATTGTATAAATCACGAAATGATTTAATAATTCTATTACACTTATACGGAAAACACCATTTATTTGATGGTAAATCCTTGGTCACTGTTTTTCTGGAAAAATATCTACTTTATGATAATCTACTTTAATGCGATTTCCAGGAACCAACTGTGGCAAAAAGCAAATCCACCTATTTATCTACATATAGGAAGAATGCGTAATTAAAAACAAAGGAAAACAAAGTTCCATCCATGAATGACAACGGCACCTGCTTGATTCTCAGCTATAAATCCTGTATTTCCTGAAAACGTGCTTTGACCACGTACATAACACCTTCGCTGTGCATTCCTGCATTTCATCATCTTAATTCACATGCACTAAAATGTCACAATCCTTAAAGATCTCAGCACTCGAGGGAAGTTCAACCTTATTTTATTTTACTTAACGATTTATTAAAGAATCCAGTGAGGAGAAAAATGTACATCAATGAAGAGGTCACTATTCCCTAAGAGAAAAACCTGAGCACACAGTCAGAGAACCTCTAGATGAAGGGCTTTGCACAGGGTACTTCAAGCTCCTTCATGATGGACACTTCAGTGACAGCTGAGAACTGGCCAGAACTTTACAGCCAGCTCTGTCGATTACAAAGTGGAAAGAACCCCTGCCGTAGGACAGTTCTGAAGAGGAGTAACACAGCTGTGAAGAGGGGTAACACAGCCATGAAGAGGAGTGACACGGCCGTGAAGAGGAGTGACACGGCCGTGAAGAGGAGTGACACGGCCGTGAAGAGGGGTAACACGGCCGTGAAGAGGAGTGACACGGCCGTGAAGCGGAGTGACACAGCTGTGAAGAGGGGTAACACAGCTGTGAAGAGCCGTAACACAGCTGTGAAGAGCGGTAACACAGCTGTGAAGAGCGGTAACACAGCCATGAAGAGGAGTAACACGGACGTGAAGAGGGGTAACACGGCCGTGAAGAGGGGTAACATGGCCGTGAAGCGGAGTGACACAGCTGTGAAGAGGGGTAACACAGCTGTGAAGAGCGGTAACACAGCTGTGAAGAGCGGTAACACAGCTGTGAAGAGGAGTAAGTAACACAGCTGTGAAGAGGGGTAACACCACTGTGAAGAGGGGTGACACGGCTCTGAAGAGGGGTGACACGGCTCTGAAGACGGGTGACACAGCTGTGAAGAGGAGTAACACTCCGAGACGGACAACGTCAGACAGAGTGCCCAGAATGCTGTCTGGCACGTATGAGGCCCACTGACACTGACACTGCGGGTGAACACCGATGTCTGGTTAACAACCTGCAGGAGTCTCTGTTTCTAACACACAGAGAATCTGTGCACGTCGGCGTGGCCTTACCCCGGAAGGAGAGACTGTGGCGCAGGCGCGGGGCCACTGAGGGCACACAGGCCGATGCTGCTGATGCCACTGCTGCCCACGCTGCCGGAGCTCTGGGCTGACTGGGCACTCCGATCCTGGTAGCTCAGGGGAAGGGTCTGAGGCCTGGCATAGTAGTAAGGGGTTGAGTGGGCATCTCTGGGTAAGGCCTGAGCAAATAACGTAGCATAGCTAGAAACCTGAAAAGAGAAACACACTAAGAGCAGAGACAGAAAATTACAGAACAGTCTTCCCAAACCTAAAAAGGTCATTTATATTCAGATTTTCCTTCTATTTCTGTAAATGGATTTGGATTCTATACTTCATTAACAATAAATTAGATGTTATGCTTTTGAAATATGCCTAAACTGATCAAGTTTTAGAAAATTTTCTGAACTCCAACAACTACTACATTGTCTGATAACTAAACACTCATGCTGATCCAAGCAAACTGAAACTTAGATATTTTTTAAAGTTAGGCATTATTAAATAATGATTACTTCTATATATTCATATTTATATGCTTTACATGTATATTAATATATAATGATTGCTCAGACGAAGCCTTTAGCAATAGACAGAACTCTTTCACCCACACGCTTCACCCTCTTTGCACTCCCACGTCTCTGGTGGGTACTTTATTACAGCAGACTCTGGGACACAGAGCACCAGAATCACTCTGACATACTGCAGGGCAGACACTCAGCCCGGTGATGACAGGGTTTCACTGGCACAAAAGTAAAGAACGCTCACAACTGAGAGCATGAAAAACTCCTAAAGAATTACCAATCGGTGCCAATATCAGTAACTTCACAAAGTAAACATCTTGAAAACTGACCGTTTATTCTCTATTTAATCACCCATTGTTGCCTGAATAACAAAATTCTGAAAAACATCTTCAAGAAACTGCACACTGACTAAAAACGCACTTAAAAAGAAAAAGTCAAAGAAATCTCTTGACCTTCCACGACCAGACAAGCTTGTTGCTTTCCTAGCATGATTTTCTTAGCTGCAGAAGCCGTTTCCTATCAAAGTCTGCCGGGGTGTCCCGACAGACCCGAAAACGCGAAGGCAAAGCCACTTACCTTGCTTGGCGGCCTGCGTGGGTCCTCACTGAGGCTCAGCAAGAGGTAGAGTATTGACCATTTATTTTTCAAAACTCCCTGTTTGGAAAAAAGTTAACATTAAAGGAACGATTTTTATATTACTCTCCAGTCTTATTTTCCTCTTTCCTGAACTGTATTTCAAAACTAGAAATGCATTTCAAAATTCACATAGTGACATCAAATCTAACAGTTCATAAGTATTTTCAACAGTGCCACCCATCCGAAGGTGGAAGCAAATGTCCTCATGCAACCAACACCCTTGGGTCTTTCGCTCCCCTATTAACTAGCTCTAAAGTCCCCAATAAGAAAAGTTTTTTAAGTTACCCTATTGCTGAATAACAGTATCATCTTCCCTGAAATAATTCTTACAATGTCCCCAAAACCATAATTATGAGACAAAGCCATTATAAAAATATGTGAATTATTTTTTCCTTTATCAACATCCCATTTAAGCCCCAAGCAGAAGTTAGTCTCAGCATCATGTGAACCTAAAGTCAAGATGTAGGTCTGGGCCGGAAACAGGGGCTCACGCCTGTAATCCTAGCACTTTGGGAGGCCAAAGCAGGAGGACCACTTGAGGTCAGGAGCTCGAGACCAGCCTGGCCAACATGGCGAAACCCCATCTCTACTAAAAATACAAAATGAGCCAGGTGTAGTATCATGCATCTGTACTCCCAGCTACTTCGGAGGCTGAGACACAAGAATCGCTTGAACCTGGGAAGCAGAGGTTGCAGTGAGCTGAGATCACACCACTGCACTCCAGCCTGGGAGACAGAGCAAGACTCTGTCTCAAAAAAAAAAAAAAAAAATGTGGGTCTGAAGCACTTAGTTGTCAAGATAACTAACCCACAGGTTTCTATGCAAGGGTCATCACACAGATTTCATTAATTTCCAAGTGTGTATCACACCAGTCTGATTCACAAACATAACAGCAGCCAAACCTCAGTATATTCTATTCATACAGCCTTACCTTTTGCATGCACAGGCTACAATATGTAAGTACCTTTATTTACAAAACAAATGATGGGATGATTGCTTATATTATGTAAACACTCCATTACATAACACATTCTCTGAAAGTTTCTTTTAAAAGTAAGCTCATCCCAGGTATTTAAATTACTGTCTAACTTCAGAAAATTGGTTGACATAGGCTTTTTCAGAAACTCAACTCACTCCCCAGCCAGGGCCACAAGGATAAGAAACAGACCCAGCCCTGATGGAGCGTGTCTCACCACAGGCAACAGACAAGTGGGCAGATGCAATGTGTCAAATGGCACTTCACAGCTCACAAAAGGGCTCCCGGAGGAGACTCAAGTCCCCTAGAAAGATGGACCGTGCAGAGGGACAGACAGGAGAACACAGCAACCTGACAAAGGCCAGGAGTCAGGAGGCCTCCACGATGCACCAAGAAACTTGGATTTGGAGGTAAAGACAACAGCAGGAAGCCTGCGAAGGACGTCCCGGGGAGAGGCACCATCACCACACAAGTGACGAACTGGCTGGAGGGGACAACATGAGAGGAAGACTGCAGTCATCTGGAGGGAGATGCAAGCAGCTGAATGCAATACAGTGAGCTGAGTGTGTGCTCAGGCACACGTCCCTGGCGAGTCCCTGCAAGCCGGCATCAGGGGCCCGTGAGGCTCAGGCACACAGGCCCAGGACCAAGGAGCCAAGCGGCCGCCAACCTTTAGCTCTTTCCACGCATTAAATCCTGTCATCGTCACAACCACACTATGACAGGGCTTATTCTCTTCATGCCACAAATGAGAGAACGAAGGACAGCAAACATGAATAACTCACCCAAATCACAGAGCCACATGCAGGGTTCACCCCCAGGTCTGTCCACCTCCAAACAAGAGGTATAGCTGGGGAGTCAAGATGACACCCAGGTTCTCATGGGGGCAAGATCAACGGTGCTGTCATTCACCAAAACAGAGAACACAGAAGAAAGAGCATGCAGCGTGCAGGTGGATGTGAATGGATGCCCAGAAGGGTGGAATAAGGCGCAACGCTCCCTTCAGCTCAGAGGATGCCAAGTTGTGAGAACCTGTGGGAGTTTTCAGGGAGTCTCTGAGTGAAATGACCAGTAGGTGAAGGGAAAGACGGCAGGAAATGTTCTACCTTTGCACTAAGGAACTGCTAGGTTAAAAATCTCAGATTTTATTTTAGCAAAGATGTATTTGAGGGTGAAGGGTGGAGAAATTTCAAAAATGAACAAAATTATGCACCAAAAACCTAGCAAGTGACATAAAGGATGAGGCAGCATTTTTTAACTATAAAAAGAGCAAGTATAAAACACCGAGGATCTCTTCAGTCTGCTGAAGACCATTTGATACGAAGGTGTGGACGGAAACCACAGGAGACGGTGAGGCAGTCTGGGAACACCACCAGCCAGGACCCACTCAGGTGGAACACCACCAGCCAGGACCCACTCGGGTGGACCACCACCAGCCAGGACCCACTCGGGTGGAACACCACCAGCCAGGACCCACTGGTGTGGAACACCACCAGCCAGGAGCCGCTATGGGAACACCACCAGCCAGGACCCACTCGGGTGGAACACCACCAGCCAGGAGCCACTCGGGTGGAACACCACCAGCCAGGACCCACTCGGGTGGAACACCACCAGCCAGGACCCACTCGGGTGGAACACCACCAGCCAGGACCCACTCGGGTGGACCACCACCAGTCAGAAGCCACTAACGACCCTGAGACCAGAGGGGTCAGGGCTGGAGACAGTAGCCGCAGGCTCCAGGAGGGCCCAACACAGCGCAGGGCCTGCCCTCAGGAGCTGTGGGCACAGCTACGCCACTGACAAACAGCTGCCCAGCAGCAGGGGAGATGAAGTTTGGTGTCATCCCTCTCCCAACTCTGGATTCACCCTGGGGCTTAAGCCAGTTCCAGCTGAAGCCAACTGAGAGACACACAGCAAGAGGCCTGGAGTATAATCCGCCAGGTCTACAGAGCTCAGAGGGGGCAGAAGTGGGTAGAGGAGAAATCTGGTGGGTGAAACCAGATCATTTCCACCACTCTGGCAGTACAGATGCTTTTAGCCATCTGAAACCACTTCAGACCCGCCACCTCAGACTCTGAAACTACAGGACCGCAAGTTCAGGTATAAAACTTTTAAAACTGTGCACAAACTGAATTGTACATGAAGAAAGTCTTATCAGTACATGGTAAGAGCTAGAGGAACACCAAATAAACATCTTTGCAAAGCAGCTGCTTAGTGCCCAGCACAAGAGCTGATCTCAGCTTTCCCGGCACTGCCATACCAGAACACCCCTCATCAACAGGACACCACCTACCATGCAGCCACAGCACCTGCACGCCGTTTGTTCCCTGCCCTCAACGCCCCAGCCCTGCCTGGGCAGTCCAGCTGCACAATGTTCTTGTTCTACTCCCCTCATAAGCCATCCTCCCCGCTCGGCCTTTCCTGCTCAGCCACGCTTCAGACCCAACTCAAGAACACCACGGCACTCTACTCCCATCTCCATGTCAACCTGGACCCTCCTTCCATTCCCGACTCCTTCCCTCTAGGTCTAACAGCAACAAGAGCAAACAGTCGACTGCACCTTTGACCTTTCATCCCCGTGGTCTGCACAGCACATCCACACATGGGGCCCTAACTAAGACAAGATAAAAAATAGGATCAACAACCTTCACCCTTCTGCGGAGCCATTCTTGGTAAAATGATGGAATGGCTACTAACCTGAATCTGCTATTCTACTTTGTTTAATCGTTGGTCTTATACTATTACTTCTTAGTATTTTTCATCATGTTTCAGTCATGCAATGAAAAAGCCAAGCAAGTCAGTTTTGGGGGCGAGCCCTAGGAAGCGGGCCACTACTTAACATTGATATTTAGGAATAAACATTCATAGCTCCAAACAAAATTTTGGAAAACAACCATTCTAAGTCACAAGGTGTCTAAATATGTTTTCATCCAATGGCTGATATTAACCAATACAACAGCTTTTACTAGATGAAGTCTCCCTTTGGGGACCTTGGTAAGGCTAAGAATCTGGAGAAATACGGTATCCAGTAAGCAAATCTTTTTAACATTCAGTGTGTAGAAAATGGTCTTAAAAATGGAGAAAGATTTAAGAAAAGCAAATGATACAGCAGTTTGAAATAATCTGCCTGGAAATGAATGGACAAAAAAGGTTCCTATTTCTTACTCTGTAAACATTATAAAGATAATATCACAAATATTATGGAAAAAAGCATGCTTAAAACAGTGAATCCAAGTCAAACAATTAAGGAATCAAAATGGGCAGCAAATGAACTAAGTGTGTTTCAAGAGCACAATACAACAACAGAGGAAGTTTAATTACCAGCAGCATTAGGCCTAACTCAATCATTTTCACTGTGTAACACTAATAGTATTTGCTGCGCAAAGCACTAAACCTCTCTAGATTCACCTTCTTCTCCATAAAAGGAAAGAAAGCTGGATGAACTAAGTTCCTTTATAGTCAGAATTCACAAAAATCTCACCCTACGATTCAATTAATGTATTGGCATACAGGCTGCCAAAATCTTTTATGAAAATACAAGGCTGGGCTTGGTGGCCTGCACCTGTAGTCCCAGCTACTTGGGAGGCTCAGGCAGGAGGATCACTTGAGCCCAGGAGTTTGAGACCAGCCTGGGGAACACAGCGAAACCGCATCTCAAAAGAAAAAAAAAAGGTTAGATCTTTCATTTTCAAGTATCAATATCCAACTACATTCAAAATCAATTTTTTCATTATTTACTATGGCAGTACAAATTATGATCCAATGAATAAGTTTATCAAAGTTTAGCTATTATATGAAGATAAGTCAAGACTTCTACCAATGTACTTCCTCCCAGCAATGTATTTAAGCGACTACAATACAAACTCACAAATTCTGTTGACTTTCCCACTGTAGCTTCATTCATCTTTATAAACAATTTAGCACTAAATCCAGCTAAAACTTCTAATACTGAAGCTCACACAAAAAAGCAAATACAATCTACAATTAAAAGCAATTACCAATTATAGAAAAGTTTAGGCCAGGCGCGGTGGCTCAAGCCTGTAATCCCAGCACTTTGGGAGGCCGAGGCGGGTGGATCACGAGGTCAGGAGATCGAGACCATCCTGGCTAACATGGTGAAACCCCGTCTCTACTAAAAATACAAAAAACTAGCCGGGCGTGGTGGCGGGCGCCTGTAGTCCCAGCTACTCAGAGGCTGAGGCAGGAGAATGGCGTAAACCCGGGAGGCGGAGCTTGCAGTGAGCCAAGATCGCGCCACTGCACTCCAGCCTGGGTGACACAGCGAGACTCCGTTTAAAAAAAAAAAAAAAAAAGAAAAGTTTAATAAGATACCACAAAAAACATTCAAAGGTTCCTATACCACTCATCATATCCTCAACAATGAGTCTAATGACTTCCAGAATTCTGCACTGTACCTGTGAATGAAGTTTTCTGTGGAGTTCTGAAAATAATGCAGCATCTGCTTCTCTTCGTTGTCGAATAACTGAAAAGACAGAAAGAAAATAAGTGTAGTAATTACAAACACCAAAATTCATTGTATGATACTATTTCACCTACAATAACATAACTCGCAAGTGATGAATTCAGAGTCAAAAGCCATTGTCAAATTAGATGATGAGCAACTTTTAAGCTCTATGAATCCGATCAATTCATCTAACTCCCTGACATTTGTAAAGTATGGAAAATATTAGGCTGGGATCAAAGAGTTTATGTGAAAATTAGGTAAGGTAATAGAAATAATGGGAGTACTTACAGTTCATCTACAATATTAATCAACAGTAAGGCAAACTATGATCACTGTAACTAGTTATCAGTAGTCACTTGGAGGTAGGGATGGAAAGGGAAAATACCAGGAATCCTGAATCCAAGGACAGTAAACAAGTACAATATTCATGGTCATTCATTCTACTTGGAAACTACACATCCTAAACATTTTTATTAAGATACACAGCAATGTTTCACCTTGTTTTAGTATTAAATGTCATAATCAATTACTGTTTCAAAATAAAATTCAAAATAGCTGATTAATTTTCATCCACCAATTCATCTGATTAACAAATGTCTTTGGCTGTTCCAGCTACACGTACAAATTATCTGAAAGCAGCTGCAGCGAATGAGAAGTTCATTCTATGTTCCGTTCCATGAAGGAGGAGAAGCTGCGGTCATATTGGGTTCCCTGGGGGAAGAGAACTCACTTTGCTCACATTTACAACACTGCAAACACCACCTGTGCGCAGGTGCCTCTCAAAGAAGCTGTTACACCCACTAGAAAAGGTGCCACTTTCAAAGGCTAACTTATAATTTCAACACTCTCTAATGAACCTTTGTATTTATCCCATTTTAGTAGTATGACTTTATAAAAAGCTCATCAGTCAATCACATTTAGCATTAAATGTTCTAATTCACTTGTACGAAGACAATGATTGACTCTACAGACAACCCCACATTCTTTAGTTAAAAAAGGATTTTGGTACGAAGCACATACCAGAGATTACATAATGTAATCGTAACTGTACATTCGACTCTTCCTATATAGAAAAGGAAAGCTATCTTAAAATATACTATGTAAAATGCATTAAACAAAATGAATGCAATTAAAATTTGATATAATTTACTGTATTTACAACACATAAACAGATTCCAATTACAACCATGAAATCAAGCAAGTGATGCTCTTTCTATAGAATGAGATTGGCACTAATTCATACATGCACTACAGTCACAGCACAATAAAATAAGAAAAATGAACACATAGTATTTACAAATAAGTGATGTTTCTCTATTAAATTGCTTCTCTATTAAATTATACCACATCTCCAGTTACAATGTACCCCACCTGCCAGTGTGGAAAATGTTTGTCACACATGATCACTTTTGCAATTTGTTTCAATATAAAACACTGGCACTTTATATTTGAGGTCGGTGATATCAAATGGAAAATTAACTTTTCTGTATTATTTCAGAGAGCAGAGCTACCATAACTCAACCAATCTATCAACAACTGTAATCAAATTTCAAATGTCTCAGCATTCGTAAAACATGACAAATAAACAGTGTCCATCACGGGAGAGGACTACAGGTGCTGAAGAGGTGGTACTCACTGGAGGTTCCCAAGAAGAGCTGGGGACACCTGCTGGGGACACCCCAGAGGCACCCAAGTCAGTCAACACACAACATGCCTTCATCTTAAAACACAACACACACAGGAAACACAAACTCTACATTGTTACAGTTTTCTTCTTTAAAAGGAAAATCCCAGACTCCCCTGAATATCCATTGCAGCAATGTAGCTGTCAGTTCTTTAAGTATGAGTTTAAACAAACTTGATTTTTAGCTACTGACACATGCATAGTAGCATGTTTAAATACGGGTAATATGCTCACCCTGAGGCCATGAAATATGACTTTGTAAAGGAAACGGGCTGTTAATGCAGTACCTAACTGCTGGAGTCCTCAGTAATCATCTCAAACGGGTAAAATGGTTTAGGTTTCAAGGAGAGTATAGTGTTCTCATGTTGTTTTACAGACATTGAGGAAAATAAATTTTAATACGTTAACAGCAGTTTAAATACCCCATTTTTATTCCCCAGCGCTCTGCATCGTAACAGCAGATGGATCACTTCAGACTTCCACTGCTCATCCAGCCCTGAACTATGTCTAGGTGAAGTACTCTGGGTCACACCTTCAACTCTATCCCCAGCTGACTTGCCATCTAGTGCGGTCACACAGTTCTAAAATGGGACCTCCACAGACCATGGGCCAAACACAGTTCATAATGCAACCGCCAGGTGTGGAAAACTGTGCCATGCAGGACTTCTAGAAGGTGTTATTACTGAGACCCAAGGCCAAACGGGCTTCTAGAAGGTGTTATTACTGAGACCCAAGGCCAAATGGGCTTCTAGAAGGAGTTATTACTGAGACCCAAGGCCAAATGAACTTGTAGAAGGAGTTATTACTGAGACCCAAGGCCAACGCCTACTCCACTTGGGCAGTTTAACAGGGAGGCCCAGCAAGGAAATGCACTGACCTTCGCGCAGGCCTCTTTTCTAGGCCAACTGAAAAGCACCACTGCGTTTGGGTTATACAGCCCAGAGAACTATAAGGATGGAGAGCTGGCCACCTGCAAAAACCACCTTTCAAACAGGACTGCTCATGTGTGGCGGCTCATTACTCAGAGCCGAGCTTCCCACTCAGGCTCTCCAGAGGCGAAGCGGGGCGGCAGAGCCCTGCCAGGGATAATCAGATAATCTACTCACCAGCCAAGAACTAACAAATGGAAAGCTTTCTTCTCTAAGGTGCCAGGATTTGCAAAAGCTTTATGCACCATCCCAGAATTAAACATTCTAAAGTACTATGTTCTAATAGTTCTGACTCTACAACAGAATTGACTTGTCCTTATTTTGTACTAATATTAAAATGTGCTTGGGAACTACATACACACCTACAGACATGCATACATACATCTGCTTAAGTTCTGACAAGTTTAAGAATCCACCACATGACATTTAAGAAAAATACGTACGCTCTTTCTTGATTTTTTCAGCTACTAGAAATTCATCTCTTTCAACAGTTGGGGCGAAGTTGCTGCCAATCACCCGCACAGCATACTGGAACTGCTGGGCTACATCAGCTGAAAGGCAAACAAAAGGATGTGGATTGTTACCAACCAGGTTAAGTTCTGGTCACCAGAAGCTTCCAGTTCAAGAACAATGAACTAGTAGTAACATCTATCTTCCATTTCCCCGAAGTCTTAACTGAGAGGACAGAAAAGCTATTAAGAAATCAAAACAGAATGAATGAATGAAATAAGAGTTCAATTTAAAATAAGAACGAGAACAGTAACACACCAGAGTCTGAAAAATCCCAGATGACAGAAAACAAACTGGCTCAGTAATCACGAAAAGAAAAGGAACAGAAAGGGTCACATCCCAACACATGAACATGCGGAGGAGGCCGGGTCAAGAGAGCCTCTGAGAAGCTCCCAGGTCAACAAACACAAAAAGCCAGAAGAGGGTCACTCAACAGTCAAAACGGACAGTTAATTTGCATTTGCACCTCTAGATGAAGATGACAGCTTAAACACATGTGCCTCCACTCCCTTCAAAAACATCATAAAATTGAGGATAAAGGAGTTTTTAAAACTAAAAGCATAAACCAACAAGGACAAAGAAAACAAGGCAGAAAGGAATCAGAAGTCAAAAAATGTGAGAAGCCAGACTGCAGATGGATGTGTGGTAACTGATTCAAGAGGACAATGAAACCTGAACACTAAATGTCTGTCAGATTAAGAATGGGGAGAGGGGAGTAGGAGGAACAAATGTCAAAAAGAAATACAGTTCCCACTGCAGAGCCCAAGCAGGCTCAGGAAAGGAAGGAACTGGATACTCTCAGGATGCACGAGCAAGCAGGGCTGAAGGGGGAGACCTGGCTGCAAGTCTGGATGGAAAGAGAGTCCTGGGTCCTCCACCCAATCCCACACTGCCAGACAGCCACCGAGACCCGCCCAGCAAGCCTGGTCTGGATGGACACTAAGGCAGCCCCGGTCACTAAGCAAAGGTGACAGACAACTCAGGGACCCCCAGTCCTTCCCAGAACGCCAGGATGCACAATTTGTCTATGGGAAAACTGATCAGCCCAAGAGAAAAGAGAGACAGACGGTGATGGGTGGGGATCCTCAACAAGCAGATGGGTCTTAGTCCAATTCAGGCAGACCACAGAGATACTGCAAAACTGGTTCCAATCACCACATTAAAGAAAATATCACAAACGGTGAGTCACATGAAACGTTTTGGTTTCCCAGTGCATATAAAAGTTAGGTTTAATATACCATGGTCTATTAAGTATGGAACGGCATTATGTCTAAAAAGAAAAAAACACATACACACCTTAATTCAAAAATACTTTCTTGCTTAAAAATGCTAATCATCATCTGAGCCTTCAGCAAGTCACAATCTTTTGGCAGGCGGAGGGTCTCACCTTGATGCTGACGACTGCTGACTGACCAGGGCGGTGGCCTCACCTTGATGCTGACGACGCTGATTGACCAGGGCGGTGGCTGCTGAAGAATGGAGGGGCTATGGCAATTTCTTAACATAAGACAACAATGAAGTTTACCACATCGATTGACTCTTCCTTTGTGAAAGATTTCTCTGTAGCATGTGATGTTGTTTGACAGCCTTTTACCCACAGTAGAACTTCTTTTTGAAACCGAAGCCAATCCTCTCAAACCCTGCCACTGTTTTATTAACTAAGTTTATGTAACATTCTAAATTCTTTGCTGTCATTTCAACAATCTTCACAGCACTTCAGCAGGAGTAGGTTCCATCTCAAGAAACCACTTTCTCCGCCCATCAACAAGAAGCAACTCCTCATGCGTTCACATTTTATCAAGAGATTGTGGCAGTTCAGTAACATCTTCAAGATCCTCTTCTAATTCTACTTCTCTTGCTATTCCCCCACCACATCTGCAGTTCCTTCCTCCACTGAAGGCTTGAACCCTCAAAGTCATCCATGATGGCTGGAATCACTTCTTCCAAACTCCTGCTAATGCTGACAATCTGACCTCCTCCCATAAACTCCTGTTAATGCTGACAACTTGACCTCCCCCCATGAATCACAAATGATCTTAATTCTAGAATGGTGAATCGCTTCCAGAAAGTTTTCAATTTACTTTGCCCAGATCCATCAGAGGAATCTCTATCTATGGCAACTATAGCCTTATAAAATGTGTTTCTTAAGTGAAAAGATTTGAAAGTTGAAGTTACTCTTTGGCCCATGGGCTGCAGAACAGATGCATGTAAGCAGGCATGACAACTCCAGATGCATTCTCAACGAGCGGTAAGGAATCTTTTTCTGAGCTGCAGACCTTAACAGTAGGCTTGAAATATTCAGTAAACCGTGCTATAAAAAGATGTGCTGTCATGTAGGCTTTGTAGTTTCATTTCTAGAGCACAGGAAGGGTAGATTTAGCATAACTCCTAAGGGCCCCGGGATTTCTGGAATGGTCAGCGAGCACTGGCTTCAACAACTTCAGTCCCCTGCTTCGTTAGCCCCAGACAAGAGAGTCAGCTTGTTCTTTGCAGCTCTGAAGGAAGGCACTAACTTCTCTCTAGCAATCAAAGGCCTAGATGGCATCTTCCAATGGAAGGGTGTTTCACCTACACTGAAAATCTGTTTTTAGATTAGCCACCTTCCTCAGTGATCACAGCTAGATCTGGATGACTTGCTGCAGCTTCTCCATCAGCACTTGCTGCTTCATCTTGCACTTTTATGTTACGGAGATGGCTTTTTCCCTTCAATCTCATAAACTAAAAAACCCTGCCAGCTTCAAACTTTTCTTCTGCAGCTTCCTCACCTCTCTCAGCCTTCAAAGTTAGTGTCTTGCTCGAGATTAGGTTTTGGCTTAAAGGAATGCGGTGGCCGGTCTGATCTTCTATCCAGACCACTCGGATTTTCTCCATATTAGCAATAAGGCTGTTTCAATGTATTGCTCCTGTGTTCACTGGAATAGCACTTGTAATTTCCTTCAAGAACTTTTCCTATTCAATCACAACTTGACTAACTGGCAGAAAAGGCCTAGATTCTCACGTATCTCAGCTTTTGGTATGCCTTCCTCACCAAGCTTAACCATTTCTAGCTTTTGATTTAAAGTGAGAGACATGTTACTCTTCATTTCACTTGAACACTAATTTCTTTTATTATTATTTCTTCTAAAAAACAAAAAGCGGGATACACGTGTAGAACGTGCAGGTTACACAGGTACACGTGTGGCAGGTTTGTTACACAGGTACACGTGTGCCATGCTGGTATGCAGCACCTAGTGACCCATCCTCTAAGTTCCCGCCCTCACCGCCCCCCCACCCTCCAACAGGCCCTGGTGTGTGTTGTTCCCCTCTCTGTGTCCATGTGTTCTCACTGTTCAACTCCCACTTATGAGTGAGAACATGTGGTGTTTGGTTTTCTGTTGATTACTAATTTCATTTAAATAGTAAGAAGTCACTGTAAGGCTATTAACTGGCCTAATTTCAATATTGCTGTGATTCAGGAAACAGAGAGGCCTGAGGAGAGGGGGCGCGGCAGGGAACCCTTGGTTGACAGAGCAGTCAGAACATACACAACATTTTTTTATTAAGTTTGTGCACTTCATGGCACCCCAAAACAATTACAATAGTAGCATCAAAGATCACAAGTTACACATCAACGTAACAGATATATAATAACATGAAAACTCTGAAATACTGTGAGAATTTCCAAATATGACACAGAGATACAAAGTGAGCGCATGCTGTTGGAAAAATGGTGCCTAAAGACTTGCTCAACACAGGGTGCCAAAAACCTTCCAATTGTCAAATAACACAGTATCCGTAAAGGACAATAAGATGACGTGTGCCTGTCCTCCACAAGGAAGCTCAACACTGGGCAAATGCTGCCCTAGCCAAGACCTTCCAACAACTCCACTCTTAAACATGAAAAGAACAGGTATCACCAGACACCCGAGGGCATCATCTAACACAAAAAAGAGACAAACACAAGAAGGAAAAAAGGAAGCTCTAAGAAAAAGTGACAACATAGGAAATAAGAAAATGGGGGGAATATGTACAAAAACAAAGAAGCTATAATGGCCTACGAGATTAGACATAACACATCCATGAAATAAAACAGGATGCCATAAATTCAGAGAAGACAAGCTCTTGAATATTAAAAGTATGAAGGCAGATGTTTTTTAAAATAAGTAGAAAGCTTGTATTTAAAATTGAAGAAGTAACTCAAAAACAAAAACAAAAAGGCAAAAAGACGGAAATTAAGACAGCCAAGAGAAGCAAATCACCAGATCAGGCCAGGCAGAAGTGGGGAGGCAGAAACCTGGAGTGCAATACATGTCCAAAGAAGTCACACAAGACAGAAAGGATGATAAGGGAAGGGCCTGGGAAGTTACATGGTTCACAGAAACTGCCTTAGCCCCAAGAAAAAATCCAGGCTGTCATCTCTGCAGAGGCAAACTCCCAATCTGAGGAACTCCCACCCTCAGTACAAGGGATCTGGGAGAAGAATGGTTCCCCACTACAGTCTCAGCAGCAAAAGAATGTCAAGGGTCAGGAAGAAATACTTAGGAAAGCCTCCACCTTCCGAGTAAAGCAATCACTTCGATAAGTGAATTGGAGTTGGCACCAGGGTGGGATAGCCTGCCTGTGTACCCAACTTCTATGACTCCAGAAGTCAAGCTACCAGTAGATACCTCCAGATCCCCGTACCCCCTGACCACTGAGTGCTGGGCCCAGTTCAACCTGAGATGCAAATGAGCAGCCCAACAGGGCAGTGCCCAGCTGCATCCGCCAGCAAAAGCCAACACTGTTCTCCATCCGAGGAAGGAAGTGGAACTACGAGTGGCATCTGGAAATCCAAGTGAGCAGTCTGAGCTCAGTGCGGCGTCCCCTGCCCAATCCACAGAGAACCTTCAAGTGGGCACTCTGAGCTCCCAGTGTGGCTTCCCCTGTCCAATCCATAGAGAATCCAAAATCCGCCGGGCGCGGTGGCTCAAGCCTGTAATCCCAGCACTTTGGGAGGCCGAGACGGGCGGATCACGAGGTCAGGAGATCGAGACCATCCTGGCTGTCACGGTGAAACCCCGTC